ACTCATAGTGACTCTGTGCACAACAGAATGAAACACTACCTGGTCCTGCACCAGCCTCACAATTGTTGTATTTGAGCCCATTGTTGCTGCCACTGTGTCAGTTCATCTTGTTGGGGGCCTTTCTTTTTATAGTTGAGCCTCCACTTTTCTAAGCATATGACTGATTCCTCCTGATAATATGTCCAAAGTACGAGAGATGAAGTCTTGTTATCCTGGCTTCTAAGGAGCATTCTGCCTGTATTTATTCCAAGGCAGCTTTGCTTGTTCTCCTGGTATCCCATGGTACTTTTCAGTATTCTTCACCTACACCATAATTCAAATGCATCAATTCTTCCATGGTCTTTCTTCTTATCCAACTTTTACATGCATATGTGGTGATTGAAAATATTATGGCTTGGGTCAGGTGCATCTTGTCCTTTAATACTTTAAAGTATTTTGCAGCAGATTTGCCTGATACCACATGTCTCAGTTTAGGAGGCTAGTAGTCCACATTCAGGGCATTAGCTCTTAGGGGAAAGCTTTCTCTCTCTGTTAGCTATGGGGGAAGGTCCTTGTCTCTTTCAACATCTGTGGACCTGGTGCCTCTTGGAGATCTCCATGTGTCGGCATCAGTCTTTCCCAGTGTCTAGGAGGTTCTCAGTCTGAAACGTTGGTTCTAAAAACTGCTTAATTTCCAGGTCTTTCTTGGTAGTAGTCTAACCTCTCCTCTGCTTGCTTCTCTGCCCTTTATTTCTTGTAAGATAAAAAGTGATGCAGACCACACATGAAGGAAACTCCTCATACAGTGGATTGGGGCTGAGACTTGAGTAAAAGTGTTGCATACCACCCTAATCCCTTTACAACTGATCGGCTTATGTAAAGATCAGAGCAGATCACATCATAAGGTCTGATTATATTATTATATAACTGTCAAACCACTGAGGATCATGGCCTATGAAGAATAACATAAATAGAGAGTACTTGTAAAGGTATGGGAGTCCTGGTTTGGCACCCTAGGATAAGCACTCAGCCATGTGGTCAGTTTGAACTGCAAGGTCAGCAGTTCAAACTCACCAGCTTCTCCTCAGAAACCCTATACAGGGTTGCTATGGGTCACAGTCAACTCAATGGCACTTAACAACAACAACAGTAAAGGTAAGAGTCCTAGTGTAAAGCTTTAGGATAAGCACTGTATTGCTAGCCACAGGGTTGGTGATTCAAACCCACCATTTGCTCCTCAGAACCCTATCCAGGGTCACTATGAGTGGGAACTGACTCTACAGCACTTAACAACAGTAACCATAAAGGTAAAGACATAAGTAAATACAAAAGTCAATATAAATGTTTTGTTTGTTTGTTTTTAACAAACTAGTTATCAGAAAGTAGAAGAGTAGGGGATACTTCTCAACTCTGTGATACTCATAATTACTTTTATACGAAAATCAGACAAAGACACCACAAGAAAAGGAAATTACAGCTATATATCCCTTATAAATATTATTGTTAGATGCCATCATAGAATTCCCATGCACAGCACTGCCCAGTACTGCACAATCCTCACAGTTGTTAGGTTTGAGCTCATTATTTCAGCCATTGTGTCACTCCATCTTGTTGAAGATTTCCCTTTTTTTTTCTTGCTGACCCTCTACTTTACCAAGCATGGTGTCCTTTTCCAGGAACTGGTCCCTCCTGATCTCTCTGTTCAAATGCCATCAGCCCATGTCCAAAGTCCGAGAGATCTAGTCTTGCCATTCTCTCTCTTTTAAGGAACACTGTGTCTGTGCTTCCTCCATCTTGTTTGTCCTTCTGGCAGTCCATGGTACTCTGAATATTCTTCACCAACACCATAATTCAAACATATCAATTCTTCTCTGGTCTTCTTTATTCATTGTCTAGCTTTCAGTGCACCTTACTTCTCAAAGTGGCATCTTAGCTTTTTAACACTTAAAGAGGTCGTTTGCAACATATTTGTCTAATACGATATATCATTTGGTTTCTTGACTGTTGCTTCCATGAATGTTGATTGTGGATCCAAGTAAAATGAAATGCTTGACAACTTTAATCTTCATGTGTGATACTGTCTATTATAGTAATTTGTGAGGATTTTTGGGTGTTTTGTTTGTTTGTTTTTTACACTGAATTGTAATCCATACTGAAGGCTGTATTCTCTGATCTTAGCAGCAAATGCTTCAAGTCCTCTTCACTTTCAGCAAGCAAGGTTGTATCATCTGCATATCATAGTTTGTTAATGAGCCTTCCTCCAATCTTGTTCTTCTTTATGTAGTCCGGCTTTCAGATGATTTGCTCAGCACACAGATTGAGTAAGTATGGTGAAAGAATACAGCTTGGAGCACTCCAATTCCTGATTTTACACCACACAAATACAAGTCAGACTGCTCATCTCATGGTCAGCAGTTCGAAACTACCAGCAGTTCTGTGGGAGAAAGATGAGGCTTTCTGCTCTTGTCAAAATTTACAACCTCGGAAGCCCTATACAGGATCACTATGAGTCAGAACTGACTCCATCCAAGGCACATCACCATGACTACCAGTATCCCCTTGTTCTGTTCAGACTACTGCCTCTTGGTTTATGTACAGATTCTTCATGGGCACAATTAAGTGTTCTGGAATTCTCAGTCTTTATAGTGTTATCCAAAGTTATGATCCATGCAGTTGAATATCTTTGCATAGTCAGTAAAACACAAGTAAACAACTTTCTGATATTCTCTGCTGTCAGCCAAGATTCATCTGACTTCAGAAATGATATCTCTCATTCTATGTCCTCTTCTGAATCCAGCTTGCATTTCTAGCAAATTCCTGCGGAAGCACATGTTTTGGAACTATCATCAGCAGGATTTACTTTACGCATTTGATGTCTATGATATTGTTCAATAATTTCCATGTTCTGTTAGATTACTTTTCTTTGGAAGGAACACAAATATGGATCTATAGTTAACCAGTAACCAGGTAGTTGCCTTCCAAATTTCTTGGCATGAACTAATAAGTGCTTCCAGTGCTCCTTCAATTTATTGAAACATTTCAGTTGATATTCTGTCAATTCCTAGAGCCTTGTTTTTCACGAATACCTCCAGTGCAGCTTAAACTTCTTTGTTTAATACCAACAGTTCTTAATTATATGCTATCTCGTGAAATGGTTGAATGTCGACTAATTCATCTGGATACAGAACTTTTTGTATTTTTTCTATCTTCTTTGATGGTTCCAACATCATTATATTTTGTCTACCGAATCTTTCAATGTTGTTACTCGAAGCTTGAATTTTTTCTTCAGTTCTTGCAGTGTGAAAAATGCTTAGCATGATCTGCCATTTTGCTTTTAAACTTAGGACTTTGCATATTTCATTATAATACCTTTCTTTGTCTTCTAGAGTTGCTCTTTGAAATTTACTGTTCAGGTTTTACTTCATATCTTCTATTTGTTTTAACTACTCTGGGTTCAAGAACATGTTTCAGAGTCTCTTTTGATATCTGCTTTGGTCTTTTCTGTCTTTTAAATGACTTTTCTGCTTTCTTCATGTGTAATGTTCTTGATGTCTTCCCACAGATTGTTTGGTCTGTGGTCATTAGTTTTCAGTGCATCAAATCTGTGCTTTAGATGACCTCTAAATTCAGTTGGAATATATTCAAGATCTTTTTTGGGTCTCATGGACTTGTTTTAATTTTCTTCAACTTCAACTTCAACTTACAGTTAATGTTGTCTGTTTCACAGTCAGCCCCTGGCTTTGTTTTGATTGATGATATTGAGCTTCTCTACTGTCTGTTCCACAGATCTAGTCAGTGATTCCTGTATATTCCATTTGATTCCTGTGTATTCCATTTGGCAAGATTCACACACTCAGTTACCATTTATGTTGTTGAAAAAGAAAAAAAAATAAATACTGATAATGAATCAATTGATATCTTGAAAAAATTCTATCATGAGATTTCCAGCTTCATTTCTATCACCAAGACCATATTTTCCAAGTACCAATCCTTTTTGTTTCCAACTTTTGCATTCCAATCACCAACAATTATTAATGCTTTTTTTTTTTTTTTTTTTTAACCAGTGTGGAATAAACAAGTTTATTGAGAACACATATCTCTGAAAACCAAAAATCTCTGAAGGGTTTTCCCCAGGATCCAGAAAGAGAACACTAAGTGCCCCCTCCCAAGAACACCTACAAAGTTGAGGACCCAGGAACTCTCAGCAGGGAACCAATAGCATGGCCCAGAAATATGTTTAGTTAAAGCACACCAACAGTGAAAAATGTTAGACTACCTGCATTGCCAAGACCTGGTATTTGTTCAAAGCAGATAGAACAAGAGAAAAAGAGAGGGGACAAAAAAGAAAAACAAAGAGAAAAATATAAATCCTGTATTGCTTTAGTTAGTATCAAGAGTGTGATATGTTGTGGTTGCTATACAAGGGTAAATCCAAAAGCATTGTTATGGTATTATAGAAACCAATAAAAGTTTATTAAACAAAAATATGAAAATATGAAGCTTTCATCTCTGGATGTGTCTTCTATCCAGGTTTGGAGACTTCTAAAGGCAGTGCTTCCATCTCTCTAATCCTTCCTCAAATAGTTCTGAGCACTTCAATTTACACCACATCTAGCTGGCAATTCTGGCATCCTCCAAGGACTTGAATTGTGTTCCTTTTAAATATATGTATTTTTAATTTTAGGAACAAAGAGAAGTAAGAATGGGCAAGACCTTAGATGGGTTAAGTTTTTCCAGTGAAATTCTGGTAGGACATGCTTCCCTCAAAGAATGAGCAAGTGAAGCATTCATCTTCAGTGCAACTTTCATGGCCTTTTCCTCACCAACGCAGCTACCATTTTCTAAAGTACTCTTTCCAATAAGCTCCCGTGATCATCCTGTGTCCTTTGAAAAAAAAAAAAATCTGTCAAGATTACCCTTTTGGAACCCCCAAAACCAATAACCATAATCTTCTGAGATGGCCTCTCTTGAATTTAACTGGCCCAGCAGATTCTCTCAGAAGCCACTGTTAGGACTGGACTTTACTCTCTAGATTTTATTGGTAAATCCAAGCCTTATCTCAGGTCATAATGAATCTTTGAGCCAGTATTTGCTTCTATTCCCTCTTGTTTTTGTTTTGTTTTGTTCAGTAATATGTAATTATTTAAACAACCAAAGGACACATTCTGCAAGCTTGCCTCCTGGCCACCAGCACCTGGCTGCCAGCACACAACCTTTCTCTTTCCGTGAATCAAGAGTCCTCAGTTGCTCTCTCT